GAGCATGCTAATCAATGTCTTCAGGATCATTAGAAAATCACAGATAGGTGAGTATGAGTAGGGTTGGAGCTAAACTTTGTAGCGCATTGGCCCTCCAGGGCAAGATTTGAGCAACCCTGGCCTATGCCATCTTTATGTAGAGCAACAATTCTTTTTTTCAGATCCTCAGAGTTCTTTGCCATGAGGTGCCATGTTGAACTTCCAGTGACTATATATATATATATATATATATATATATATATATGAATAAAATAATATTTCACAATAAAAAAAATTTTTTTACTGTTACTGATTTTTTTTTTCACTTTTAAAGAGTAATCTATAATTTGTTTTCAATGCATTATTTTAATTAGATAACCCTACGTTTCCCAGGATTCCGTTCAGTGACTTTCACCCTGCAGTCTAAGGATGTTCTGAGCACAGTGTTGGATGTTCTGAGATCCTGTAGTCTCTCGGTTGAACATATGCAAGACGTGCTCAAGGCTGAGACTGGGAAGAGCTCAACACAACAGCCTGGAACAGCTTTCTATCGGCCCATTAAATGGGACAAGACTTATTACACTTTCACAGGATTCAGGGACCCAGAGCAGGAGTTAGAACAAGCCAGGAGAGTGGAGCCCACACTCAGGTATTGAGAGAGACCTTTTTTGGACACCAATCCATATATTGTATTTATTTATTTATTCTTTCATCAGATAAGTTTGCCTATACACTCCATGACTCGTATACATGGTTTTTGCACTTTAATTGAGAGGACTGTAGATAGACTTAAAGAGTGTGTTCCCAAAAATACACCAACACGTAGACTTTCCAACACGGGGAAACAACACTCTGGACTTTGTTTACACCACCCAGAGAGGAGCTTACAAGGCCCTACCCCTCCCCCACCTCGGTGCCTCAGACCACATCACTGTCATGCTAATTCCTGCATACAGACCGCTCGTTAAAGTCGCCAAACCAGTTCACAAACAAATACAAGTGTGGCCGGAAGGGTCGTCAGAGGCTCTTCAAGACTGTTTTAACACCACTGACTGGAATATGTTTAAGCAGGCTGCCACATACAATAACTCCACAGACCTCCAAGAGTACTCGGAGACTGTCACTGCCTACATCACCAAGTGTATTGATGATGTAACAGTCTCAAAGACCATCACTGTCCGGGCCAACCAGAAGCCGTGGATGACAGGGGAGGTTTACAGACTCCTGAAGGCTCGGAACGCTGCCTTCAGAGCTGGAGATGAGGTGGGCCTGAAGACAGCTAGGGCCAACCTATCCCGCGGCATCAGAGAGGCTAAACGACTGTACTCCAGGACGATAGCCCATCGTTTCAGCGAGAGCAGAGACTCGGAGCCTGTGGCAGGGGATACAGACCATTACGGACTACAAGCCCCCACCGCGGACCTGTGACAGCACCATCTCCCTGCTGAACGAGCTGAACGTCTTCTTCGCTCGCTTTGAGGCACAAAACAGCACCACTGCACAGAAGACTCCTCCTCCTCCCGGTGACCAGGTGATGACGCTGTCCCCGGACAGCGTGAGGAGATCCCTCAGCAGGATCAACGCACGCAAAGCTCCGGGTCCTGACAACATTCCTGGGCGTGTACTGAGAGACTGTGCAGTGGAACTCACCGATGTCTTCACAGACATTTTCAACATCTCGCTAAGTCA